TCATATGGTTGCAACTCGGTGATACGAGTAAAATCGAATTTCTTGAGAGCTGCGCTACTTGTCACTGTATCGTGCTTGTCATAGAATCACAGTAACGATTATCATTTATTGCATTTAATTATCAGTTGTTTTTACCATCAGTTAATTTCGATCTTTTTCTAGTGTGCTGTAATTGCAGGTACACCGAGAAAGTGAAGATACTAAATCCGATATTTATCTTTTTAATACCGTACTTGGCATATCTGACCGCTGAAATGTTCGGTCTTTCGTCTATTTTAGCGTAAGTTTGTCAACATCTACTGAAATATATACTTTGATCAGCTGCAGTTCGTGGTATGGTTCTCCAAGTATACAACCCCTTCAGCTACTTTAGCCAATTAGCTTTGCATTCACCCGCTAGTCAGCCTGCCAGTAATCCAGGCGTTTGTTTCGTCTTCTGAAGGGATTTTCAGCTCAACCAATTCTTCTGGCTAAAGCATTTGCCAGGACTTCAGAGATGCCTCCGATGTATGTCGAATGCCAGTACGTCTCGCACTCTTGGGTCGGGATGAGGTACTTTAACGACTAGGAGAAATACCAAATATCGATGCTAATCTTCGTATTCTTCAAAACAGTATTGTAGCATCTAGATTGATCCTGGAAACAAAAATGGCAAAAGCGCAACGAAATACGAAAAAAAAGAACAGTATGAGAAAAGAAGGTGAGAGTGAGATAAGACGTTTCGGTCCATTAAGTCATATGCTTTTTAACTCACCAGCGCGACTGGACTTTAAATTCATTTACGAAGCAAATCCTCGATTTCGAATGTGTAATCTCGTCCTGTTGTCAATGAGCGCTGGAGAACGTAGCTGCAAACTAGAGGCAAGTAGCGCAGTACAAGAGGGCCTGACCAGGCGCTCCGAGGACAGTGAGAACGAGGGTCACAGAGCCGTTGTCCAGACAGCACTGTGATGAATTTCAGGATCGTGGCATGCGGTATGGCGATGAAGCAGTACGTAAAGGGTAATATCACCAATACAGCAGCAACATCAGTGAAATATTTCACAAAAATGTTGGCGCAAACCTGTGAAACAGTGATTTTCATGTTCCTCGGCCTCTCAACAATATCCAGCAAGCATCACTGGGATCTGCCATTCATCGCTCTGACCCTCGTCTTTTGCCTCGTCTATCGCACTATCGGTAGGCGCATAAGCCAATTGTTGTTTTCAAACTGATATGTTTTTGCGCTTTCCTGACTGCCTTAAATTTTTGCACATACGGTTAGGTCAAATTTGATAGGAAATTTCTAAATAACTCAGCGTAGCACATTTTATCATGTCGCGATTTTTGAGAAGTGCCTATTTGCCGCGCGATTACGCACAAGCAACTCTCAACCATCAAAAACTCACAGTATGATGCCCAAACTTGACTAATTTTGAGAAGTATAAGCAATTTCGTTAAAATTCTAGGCAATCAAGGCAAAACGTGCACAAGTTAAAAGACATTTATGTACTATGATCACATTTAATTCATGGTCTGATTCTCCAGTCATATAGCTGACAACTCTGGTTACTTTAACCACTGATTGTTAGCCTGCTGGCAACCCCAACGTTCGTTTTGTGGTCTGAAAAGAAGTACCGAATTGAAGTTGGATTGGCGTGGAACAGGAAAACCCAGCACGTGCTTCTTCCTCACTTGTTTTCACACAATGAGTGCCAGAAAGCTTAATGAACAGAAAGACCCAGCACGTGCTCCTTTTAAGCAAAATTTTTTATTTCTGTTTTGATATTTGAATTTTTATCGGTGTTTTGATCATCGTCTAAATAAACTTTTATTTATTTAGTTTTCATTATCGTTTTCTTTCTAGTTTTGATTTTTGATTTATATTTTTTGATTTTTGATAATCTAGTTTTGACTGTCGTCAAGATATTTAAGTATTTAAATTTCCGTTAAATTTTCGTTGAAGCATTTAACTATTTCTGTTAGAGTGTGTAAGTTTTTGTCGAAATATCATGCTGCGCTTATCATAGGCGTGATTGTCCAGTGCGCCATACTGAACCGCTTCCGAAAGCAGAGTTTCTCCCGCGTTGATCAATTTGTTTTGTGTTATGGCGGTTTGCGCGGCGCTATCGCGTTCGGTCTGGTCGTCTCCATGCCTAATCATATCCATGCGAAGAGTATGTTCACCACTGCCTGCATCGCTGTCATCTACTTCACCGTATTTCTTCAGGTAAGGACGCTTTTTGCTCTTCGACAAGACATTATTCAGGAGGTCTACTCGTCCCTAGGGGATATCCGGATTACGGTTCGCCCTATTCCACACGGCAGCTGACATTTGTTCTGTTATTTGGCTTTTTTTTTAATGTTTGGATTTTATCGGCGTTTTTTGTTTGCCGTCCAAATATTTAAATAAATTTTTACTAAAGTATTTAAATTTCTGTTAAATTTTTGTTAAAGCATTTAGCAGTTGAAGATATTTCGACTACCAGAAAAAAATCCTGGAATCCACAACGAACAACTTCTGATTTCATGACCTCAACCAAATCCTATGTGCACCCAATTACCACTTACTTTTTACGCATACACTTTAATAATTTCCCTCCCCCTCCCCGATTCATAACAATAATTTTCTTATAAATCACAACCATATTAATGCTACTGTATACTCATTTAAGCGTTTCCATCCTTTATTGCTCCTAGTTTATTACATCATTTATAACATGCTAGTTTATTACATCATTCTTTATCCTTCTCATCTGGTCACTCCGTCCTGAAAAAACGGCAGGGTATTGCTAAACTAATGGTTAAAAATCGGTTTTGGCTTAGCCAATGGGAGGCCTAAAATA